TTGGAGGATGTCTCAAGCGGGGCGCTGGTTTCAGCACCCCTAAGGGGAGCCGCCAGGGGTGTTTGCACGGGCTCGTTCGCGGCCATTTTGTGGGGATGTCTCAGGCGGTTTGCTTGTTTCTGGGCTCAACATCCTTCGCTTGGAGAGCAGATTGTGAGGATGTCTCAGGCGGGGCGCTGGTTCAGCACCCCTAAGGGGAGCCGCCAGGGGTGGTTGCACGGGCTCGTTCGCGGCCATTTTGTGGGGATGTCTCAGGCGGTTTGCTTGTTTCTGGGCCCAACATCCTTCGCTTTCGAGAGCAGATTGTGAGGATGTCTCAAGCGGGGCGCTGGTTTCAGCACCCCTAAGGGGAGCCGCCAGGGGTGGTTGCACGGGCTCGTTCGCGGCCATTTTGTGGGGATGTCTCAGGCGGTTTGCTTGTTTCTGGGCTCAACATCCTTCGCTTGGAGAGCAGATTGTGAGGATGTCTCAGGCGGGGCGCTGGTTTCAGCACCCCTAAGGGAAGCCGCCAGGGGTGTTTGCACGGGCTCGTTCGCGGCCATTTTGTGGGGATGTCTCAGGCGGTTTGCTTATTTCTGGGCCTAACATCCTTCGCTTGGAGACCAGATTGTGAGGATGTCTCAGGCGGGGCGCTGGTTTCAGCACCCCTAAGGGGAGCCGCCAGGGGTGTTTGCACGGGCTCGTTCGCGGCCATGTTGTGGGGATGTCTCAGGCGGTTTGCTTGTTTCTGGGCTCAACATCCTTCGCTTGGAGAGCAGATTGTGAGGATGTCTCAGGCGGGGCGCTGGTTTCAGCACCCCTAAGGGGGGCCGCCAGGGGTGTTTGCACGGGCTCGTTCGCGGCAATTTTGTGGGGATGTCTCAGGCGGTTTGCTTGTTTCTGGGCTCAACATCCTTCGCTTGGAGAGCAGATTGTGAGGATGTCTCAGGCGGGCAGGCGGACATGTTGCTGGTGCGGCCGCCGCCTCGCTGGCTTTTGGAGAGAGGTCCGCCGGCGTCAGTGAAACTCGCTCTTCGACGCTTCGCGTCGTCTGAGGACTCGACGGTGGCGAGGGCCGCCCTGCTTGCTGGGGAGTACGGGATAACGCTGCCTGAGGAAGAGTGACGGCCCGTACTCCTTCCGGCCCGATGCCCAGTGCGGACGGCATTTTTGCCCAGATCCCTCTGCCGCTTGCCTCGCACTGCAAAGCCCGACTGGCGGGGCACGCCCAGTGCAGACGGCTGTTAGTCTGCGTGCCAATCCCAATGCCGCTACACCTTTGTTCACGCCAGCGCCCGAAACCGAGTGCGGACGGCGCGGGCGAATAACCTTTGCTGCGGTTGCCCGATGGCATACGTTTTCTCCTTGCGCTTCCATATGCATGTAGCGCATATCCAATGCCACCGGCAGAAGCCCAGCGTGGACGGCGTTGGCGTTGACATGTTTGAATTCTCTCTGGTTTTCCATTAGCAAGGAGTCTCTTGTCGATGCCGGCGCTCGAAACCCAGTGTGAACGGCGCGGGCGTTGACTTTTTGCAAAACATGTTTGCGCCCGAGGTTGAGACCCGATGCGAAGTGCGGACGGTTAAAGCTGGGGTGCAGGTCGCGAGGTGCCGCTTGAAGCACTTGTCACTCGTGCTCCCCATGGTGCTTCGGACGCGGCGCCGAGGGAATTCTTTGCCTTGACAAAAAAGATGCGCGGGCATATGCACGTGAATGAATGCATGCACGAGGTGGATGTGCAGCCGCGCTGCGCGCGCGTGTGCTCGCCGCTCACATGGACGCGCTCGTGGAGCAAACATCTATCATAGATAAATGTTCACCGTGGCACCTCCCTCCAACATGACATGCACTTATGGCCTTGTGTGGCTAAACGCTAGTCTTACATATCCCACTGCCAACTATCTTAAATCATATGCACATATGGGAAGCTCCAAAGCTACCACGGGCTGACAAGGGGAAGGCCTGGCAGCTGAGGAGGGGGGATGAAGAGGAAGAGGCTCGCATTCAACCATATTCAAAGCTCACTCTGACTCATACGCAATCACTCGCATTAGGGGTCACTCGTCTTCGTCGGCCCTGTCGCCCACGTGGACGCGCTATTGTAGTCGACCGCTCATGAACAGACGCTCACCACGGCATGGCATAAAACATGAGATGCACATATGGGGAGCTCCACGCAGTGAGGAATTCTCTTGCATAGCTGTGTTCTAGAGCTCGAACCCCTTTATTGAATCGCTTCGTTCATTCCGCCGGCCCATAGTGTAGCGTCGCCGGCACTTGCTTGCGTGCTCGGGGGGGCATTTGGGTGGCCTCCTGGGGCCTCTTGGGGGCCTCCTGAGGAGGGCCTGTTGGGGGCCTTTTGGGGCCTCTTAGGGGCCTCTTGGGGCCTCCTGGGGACATCTGAGGGCCGAGGGCTCGAAATATTGTTTCGTGTTCCCCCCTCTGGGGTCCCTCTTGGGGCGTTTTTGGGGCCCTCTTGGGCCGTCTTGGAGGCCTCTTGGGCCGTCTTGGAGCCCTCTTGGGCCGTCTTGGGGCCCTCTTGGGGGCCTCTTGGGCCCTCTTGGGGCGGTCTTGGCGGCCTCTTGTGCCGTCTTGGGGTGTCGTGAAGCCGAAGAGGTGGAAACGCCAAAATCTCTCCAAAACCTCGGGAAAAGCAGTGAATTTTGCCTCTTGGGGCCCTCTCGGGAGTGCTCTTGGAGGCCTCTTGGGGCGTCTGGGGGCCATCGTGGGCGTCTTGGAGCGATCTTGTGGCATCTCGGACCCCTCATGTAGCATCTTGGGGGCCTCTTGGAAGACTCTTGGCCCTTCTTGGGGCTCTCGGGGACGTCTCGGAGCCGCGTTGGTGCGCTGCTGGAGCGCCCTGGTGACTCCTCCCGGGACTCTCTCGGGACCTTGCCGGGGTACTTTCCGCCCGGGGGCCCCCAGGGGCCGCCCCGCGCGCACGAAGTAGAAAGATTGTAAAGCAGCCGCCGGAGATCTTAGCACGCCTCTGGCCCGTTGGGCCGGCGAATTTTCGTCGTTGTGGTTCGTCCACCTGGGCCCCCTCTGGCTCCCCTGGGCCGCGGCCCCCCCTCCCCCGAGCCTCCCGGGACTGCTCCCCCCCCCTGCGGCGGCGCCGCGGCGGCGACCGCGGGCGGAGAGCCGCGCGGCGTTGCGCCGCCGACGACTGTCGTCGTCGTCGTCTTCGTCGTTGTTGTCCTCGTCGTCGTCGTCCTCCTCCTCCACTTTCTTTCTGGCTCCTCGTAAACTCCTCCTGACAGACGAAAGCGGGGGCCTCCTGTCCTTCGCAACTCCTTTGTGCAAGAGCCAGGGCACGCGTGCCACGTGTTTCAGAGGAGGGCTCTACACAGGAGCCCTCGCAGGAGCTGAATTGGGCAGGGGCATAAGTGAGGTGGAAGGGTAGCACATATTGGGAAGAGGGGTCGTCGCACAACAAAAAAAAGTATCCCGGCAAAGCAGCCTAACAGCGATGTGTACAAGAATATCTGGAAGCATTCCTCTTAAGATTCAGGTGAGAATCCAGTTGTAGAATTCTGCTGTTCTCGCAGTCGCAGTCGCAGTCGCAATGACAGTCGCAGTGGCAACGGCCTTAGGATCCAATGGAACCCTAAGGATTCCTAGGGATTCCTAAGGCATCCTTAGGCATCCTTAGGAATCCATCGGAATCCTTAGGAAACCTTAGGAATCCTTAGGAATCCTGATTCCTATGGATTCCCAGGGATTCCTAAGGATTCCTAGGAAATCCTAAGGATTCCTAAGTAACTATGCCTACGGATTCCTAAGGATGCCCACGGATTCCCAAGGATTCCTAGGGATTCCTAAGGATTCCTATGGATTCTTACGGATGCCTCAGCCTGCCTCAGTTTCAGCCTCAGCCTCAGCTTGCCTCGGTTTGCCTCAGCCTCAGCCTCAACCTGCCTCGGCCTCAGCATACAGTCGCCGCCCAAAATTAGGGTGGGATGTTCTCCAAGGGTGCCCTTAAATCATTGCCTGCTCGGCGCATCCTTGGTCAGTTTCGTTGGCCAGCCCTCCGAAGATGTTGCACCTAGACGCCCAAGTGTCTTGCATCCTTCCACTGCGTTCGGATGATGCGCGGCGACTGGAATTTCAGCATTGCGTAGCTGAAGAGGGCGGGAACAGGGGCGGGAGGGGAGCAGAGAGGGACGCAAGGCGGATCGGAAGGGGGACGCAGGGGGGGGGAGGGGGGGGGTGGGGGGGGCGGATTGTGGGGGCAGCGAGCAGTCCTCCTGTCCACGCGAAAACCCTTGGGCCGAGTTTCTGACAAGGGCCAGGGAGTCCGCCTCTTCTTTCGTTATGTTTCTTTTACTTCTCCCCATCCATCCCCCCGCGTCCTCAGTCCGTAGCCATTTTGGCCCAAAATGTTGGTTGTCCGCGGCAGTGAAGTGGACACCGCCAATCTATGGCATCTTCCGAGTCTTTGCGTGCAGTTCGCCCTGCAATTTGCTTTCCAACTCTCGCGTAAAGTTCGCCTTTCGCGCAGTCAAGCCTCGCTCCGGACAGTATCAGGCAGAGTGTGATGGCAAATGGTCTTCTTGCAGCAGCGAGTGGCCAACAGCGCCGCAAAGCATTGGCAGGTCCGTGGTCCTGCCGGCGGTGCTTCCACCCTCGGACGGGAGAACGGTGGTGGAATGGCGGCGACAAGCTTGCGCGCACGCAGCGCATCACGGCAAAGAGCGTTTGTTTCAGCGGCCTAAAAACGCCGAGCGAGCCCAGCGCTCGCGCCCCCAATGCTGCAGCAACTAAAGCTGTTGCGCACGCCAAGCTCTTCCGCAAGAGAAAACAAGAGACTTGCAGACCCAAGGCGTTTCAAGACGCTGCCAAGACGAGCAAGATTCAATCAATGGTCAATGGAGCGTAATGGCGACTGCGACGAAGCAGACCAGAACCACAAGCGCCTCGCAGAGACTGCTACATTGTGATGCCAGCTTGGTACGGCGACCGGCAGCGCGCTGCTTGAAGCCAAATCTTGTTTTATCGCTGAACGCGTTGGGCTCAAGGAGAAGATGATCAGCAAACCGTCCTACGCCGCGCAGGTGCAGCACAGGTCCACACGCATCGAGACGATGCAGGCAAGCAAAGATCCTGGCCGACTTCCGCGCGCAGAGAGAGGCGCTGGAGGATGAATTCGCAGAGGCTTAGAACGAGGAGGCAGGCCAGATCGAGGAGCTGGAGGCCCAGCGCCTGGCCATCGCTTCGCAAGCGCCAAGGCCAGCGCCTGCCGAGCTATCGCTCAAGAGCCTGGCGCCCAAGCTCGACCTCCCAATTGACATGTTGGGCGAGCTTCTGCAGTCTGCAGGGGCCGACAGCACGGTGGCCAAATCCATCATTTACCCTGCAGCTCTTCGAAAGACCAAGGCGAAGGTCGAGCAGGCGCAGCCCGCCCCCCAGCCCCCACCTAGGTCAGCTGCCCCACCCGCGAAGATGCCATCGCAGCAACAGCGGGAACAGGCGGAGGAGCGCGCAATGCCCGTGGACACGGGCGACCCTGAGAAACTCAGGAAGTTTTTTAGTCAGCCCATGGGAGAGGAGCTGCCAGCCGACGAATCGCACGCGCGAGCCGCAGTGCCAAGGTCGCCATGAGCATCAACCCTGATACTTTTTCCCGCTCGCACGCGCGAGAATAGCGACGACGTGGTCACGAACTTCCTGTTGCAGGAGCTTGGCGGGGCACATGGTGGCCACGATTCTCTCCAGGCGCCTGCGGCCGCTAATGAATATGGCGGAGGATTTCGCGGCGACGGACTTCCTGCGGCGCCGTGCGGAGTGGCGTCACCGGCACGGGGACGAGAGCTGGGAGGGCGAGCCGAGTAGCATGGGTGCGATGATTCATGATAGGCGCGGTCTTCGTGATACTGTCCACGCTGTGGTTCCGGGCGCCGCGCCTCGTGATCTGGGTCCTGAGAAAGCATGTTCCCGTACAGGTCTTGGTGGGGGTTCTGATTTATTCCAAATTTGCTCCTTGTCTGGAATTGGTGCATGTCTCTCAGTCTATTTCAAGGAAGCTCTGCTTCTGGCATCGGTGTGGCTTCTGTGTAAGTGTCATTCCTAAAAAGGTCTCCGTCTTGCTGGCGGACGGCTCTTGATATATTTCAAATGCGGTCTGCTTCTGACATTGGTGGCGTTTCTGTTCGACGTCCAACATGTTATCAGTCTGGCCTTGGCGGGCGTCTCTTCCAAACTTTTTCAGCTACTGACATTGGTGGTGTCTTTGGCTGCCTACAAAAATGTTCCCTGACTTGTGTTGGTGGGCGCAACATGATATATTTCAACGTTTCAATCATGTTCTCCGTCTGGCATTGGTGGGTGCTTTTGATATATTTCAAACATGATCAGCAACTGGCATTGATAGGAGTATGTGATATGTTACACGCGTTCCGCGTTCACGGCGGGACTGGCGATTGGTCCACCCCACATAAGCCCCCCGCTGCTCGTCGAAGCTGCGCATCCCCTCTCCCTTGATCAGCAAGAATCCCATCATCATGTGACTTCTTATTATTACTGCGATGTTTCGTCTTATTATTAGTGGTCTTCTTCGCATTATGCGCATATCAATTATTATTCCTCCTACCCTTTCCTCCTCCTCCTCCTCCTCCTCCTCCTCCTCCTCCTCCTCCTCCTCCTTTCCTCCTCCTCCTCCTCCTCCTTTTCTCCTCCTCCTCCTCCTCCTCCTCCTCCTCCTCCTCCTCCTCCTCCTTCCCTCCATCCATCCCTCCCTTCCCCCCTGCGTCCTCCAGAGAAAAACGATACTGTCACCGCCTCCGCAACCTGCCCGCCACGGCCACGGCACCCGTCCAGCTTCAGGACGAGTGGCCGCCAGGACCAAGCGCGTTTGGATGTCAGCTCTTGGGCACACGCGAACTCCTGGTTTCCTCCCTTCTCCACCCTCCCCGCCACTTGTCCCTTCCACCAGCTCTGCTCCCGTTCCCCGTCCCTTGGCCTGCAGTCCCTCTGTGGGGGGCCGCGCGCCCCCCGGCAGCGGTTCCCTTGTGGAGTCATCTTCGCCAGTGCGTGGCACCAGCGCCGCTCCCGCCGCCGCGTGGCTCGAACACGGGCCCTCCAGGGGCGGCCGGGCGGGGGGCGAGGAGGGGGGGGGCAGGGCGCGGGGGGGGGGCGCGCGTGCCGCAGCGCCCGCGCGCTGCGCGGCCGCAGCAGGAGGCCGGACCTGGGCGCGCGGGCGCGCCTCCGCCCCGAGCCGCGAGGCGTCGTGGGCAGTGTCAGGGGGGGGGGGGTCCGGGGGGGGGGCGCATCGATCCCCAATCCGCCCACTGATAGCCGACAGGGGCCCGAGAGCCCCGCCCTTCCCGGGAGTGTGCGGGCTCGCCATCGGGGGCCTGTCACCGGTCTATCGGCGGGGTATCGCCGATTCCACGTCGACGCTTATCCCCCTGAGCTCGTCCCCCCCTAGCGTTGCCCGTCAACACGTCAACGAGGCGCAGTGGGTCGGCGGCGAGAGGTGTACGCGATCATAAATTGTGTACGACTGCGAGCAACAGCACGCAATTATGGGGGGGACGCGAACTATCGTACGGGCGACAGCTATTGCGTGAAAGAAAGGCTACACAACTGCATCCCCGCGCAACTGCTGCATCCAGCGCGCAAACTATTGCATCCAGTCGCCAGCGATTGTAAGTACCACTGCACCTCTCACTGCGGACCCATCTGCGTGAGACCCACTATTCCGGCATAGAGAGACGTCAACGAGGCACAGTGTTCTCGAGAGCATTTGTTGCCGTGCAGGGCGTTCCAGATGGACTCGCCTCCGGCGCAGCTTGCCTCGGCAGAAGCGGGCGGGGGACCAGTGGGAGCTGGCGGGTTTGAGATGGCGGTGGGCCTGCCGGCAAAAGGTCAGCAGGATCTGGCGGGTGCGAAATTGCGGCGGCTGCATTTTGCCCGCCGCCCAGAGGATGATGGCTCGCCTCTCCCGTGGGCCGCTGGGCCCTACGACGCCCTTGCTTTCGCGAGTCTGCACTGGCCGTTCGCCGTCCAGTACACTGGTTTCCGGTGCCCGAGGCCGCCCGCGCACTCCTCTTGGCGAAGCTGCTCTACGCCTGCGGCCTCCCCCGCGTTCTCGCCTCCGCGGCCGCCCTCCTCTGAGAGGAGGAGGAGGAGGAGGAGGAGGAGGAGGAGGAGGAGGAGGAGGAGGAGGAGGAGAAGGAGGACGTGGAGGAGGGGGAGGAGGAGGAGGAGGAGGAGGAGGAGGAGGAGGAGGAGGAGGAGGACGAGGAGGAGGGAGGAGGAGGAGGAGGAGGAGGAGGAGGAGGAGGAGGAGGAGGAGGAGGAGGAGGAGGAGGAGAAGAAGGCCTCCGCGGCCGCCCTCTGCTCCACTCGTCTCGTGTGCCTCGGCCCGGCGCGGCCCGCCGGCCGACCAGCCGCATTGGCGTCCGCCTCCGCCGCTGACCAAAAATCGGAGGCGACGACAGGGGCGAATAGCCCAGGGGAGAGCAATACATGTATCCAGGTGCGCCGATGATCGATGTCTTCGAAGCGGCTCCCGGGCGAATACATGTAATGCCCGCCCCTGGGCTATTCGCCCGTATCGTCGCCGCCGGAAAAAAGACAAATGGCCTTGGGACTGCTGGTGGAAGGTCAGCGGAAGGCGTCGGGATCAAGAGTGCGTCAACCTGCTTGGATTCAGGGTGTCTGGAGTCGGCCACGCGCCGTGGATTGCCATCGGGAATGGCGTTCGGTAGGGGTTTCGGCGGCTCGTGTTGCTCGTGCTGGGTGGCGACGTCGCTTTGGAGGCTGTTGGGCGTTCCTCGACGTTCTTGCCGCCACCGCTGGACGCGGCTCAAAACTGCGGCCAGCATCGACCCCAGGAGGAATCTGCGGACTAGTTTTGAGCGCGTTGCGGTCGGGGGCACTTCAAGGCCTCGGCTCGAAGACGTGCCCCGAGTCGTTTGTCTTACTCTTCGATGCCCAAGTCCAGGCATGGGCTGCGTTGTCCCGTCCTCCTACCGGATTTGCGCTGGTATGCGATGCATGCTTCTGCGTCAGTCTCCACTTCGCACGTACAATTGCGTCGATCATGAAGACGCCTCGCCACTTCGATCTGACCTGGCGTTTTTGTTTCTGGCAATTTCCAGAAAGCTTGTTTGGTGTCTAAAGTCTTTTGCGTAAGCACAGGGCTGTGCGGTTAGGGCTGGCCCAGTGTTTGCTCCAGGTGTTGCACGAAAGTTGGCCAAGTTTTCTCAGAAAAACGTGTTCTTACAGCTTTGGTTGCACAGTACAAGACTTCGCATGAGGGTCGGAGGAGGTTCAAGACACGTACGATTGAGGACGAGCAGCAGGAGTACCAGGAGGAAAAGAGGAGAGGGAGAACAGGTACCAGCAGAAGTGGGGACGGGGAGGACGGGGGGGAGGGACGAGAAGAGGATGAGGATGACGGAGAGGTGGAAGGTCAGGAGGAAGGGGAGGGCGACAGTAAAGCGTCAGCGAACGCACAAAAGGCACCGCAGACAGAGGTCCCATGGAACTGCTCGCAAGCCCGATGGGCCATGGCAGACAAGACCCGCCTGAGATCTCTCTTTTGCGGTACCTGCGTCTGCGGCCGCGGTCGGACGCTCGCCGAAGGCGAAGGAGGAGGACGAGGAGGAGAAGGAGGACGAGGAGGAGGAGGAGGAGGAGGAGGAGGAGGAGAAGGAAGAGGAGGCGAAGGAGGAGGAGGAGGAGGTTGGAGAAGTTGGAGGCTCCCACTCCAGGAGAGGCGAGCCGAGGTGGGTCTCAGCTTCCCCACCCCCCCCGAGCGCTGGGACCCACGCTCGGGCCCCACCTTCACACACACACACAAACCGCCGCCGCCGCCACAGACAGCCTCGCCTTCCCTCCCTCCCCCTCGGTGCAGGCAGCCGCCGACTGTTTCTTGTCCTCTTTACCTCTTGGTATTCTCTTCCCTCCCCCTGGCGCCAGCCAGGCGGCAGGGGTTCGAGGGCTTCAGTCGTTCGACAAAACAGTCCGCAGCCACGAGTCACGAGGAGAAGGAGGAGGGTGAGGAGGAGGAGGAGGAGGAGGAGGAGGAGGAGGAGGAGGAGGAGAAGAAGAAGAAGAAGAAAAAGGAGGGGCCGAAAGACGAGATCTAGGCGCCGTCCAGACTTCTGATGGGCTGATTTCCCCAGTCTGCCGGCCACAGAGTTCTGGACCCCTGCCCCAGAAGCAGCCCACTGTCCCAGAACCGATACTTGCTGGCCCCAGAGCCAAGAAGAGGCCACAACCGGGCGGGGCTGTAGAACAGAGATAACTCGCTCGAGAACGAAAAACGGCAGAAACATCAACTGTCGGAGCTCCGCGCGGATTTCTCGGATCTGCGCTGGGTCCCCCCTGGCGGCGCCTCCGGCGCCGCTCATGGCGCGCTCCGCGTTCCAGGGAAGGGGGTCCAGCGCCGATCCAAGAAATCCGCGCGGACCGTCGGAAGTTCATCTTCACGCAGCTGTTCTCACTCTCGTCGTTCCAGAGCGTTCCAGAACGCTCTCAGAGAGCTCCGGAACGCTGTGAGAAGGCCGCGGCGCCCGATGCATCCTTCAGAACCGTCGGATCTCAGGGAGCCCCCCTTCATCCTGGTCCGGTTTTGTCCCAGGGGGCCGGAATCAGCGTCGCCGTAACGGGTACTCACTAACGGGTACTTTTGAAAATTGCCGAAAGTTCCCTTTTTCGGCCCCCTTTGTGGCATTGCGGCGTTGCCCACATCGGGGAGGGTAAGGTTCGCAGGGTCATTGGCCAAAGTACCCGTTAATGGAGTCCAGCGCCTCCTCCCCCTCCTCCTCCTCCTCCTCCTCCTCCTCCTCCTCCTCCTCCTCCTCCTCCTCCTCCTCCTCCTCCTCTCCTCCTCCTCCTCCTCCCTCTCCTCCTCCTCCTCCCCTCGGCCGCGGGGCCGCGGCGTGCCCCCCTCTCTCCCCCCTCTCCCCCCCCCTCCCAGCCCCCGGCCTCCGCTCGACCCCAGTCGCCTCGGGGAGTGTCTTCGAGGAGGTCGTTATAGAGGGGCGCTGACGGAAGCGGGACGGAGCCCCCAGTCAAGGGCAGAAAAAACGCCCCTACCCTGGTTTACGAGGCGCTGTGCGCTGAAACTCCTGTGGGCTGACAGGGCAAACCCTGCGTGATGTACCGCGTCCTGGCGGCTCTAGGCTTTGGGGGTTCCCAGGAGGTTTACAGACCGCGCACTTGTAACCCAGGGTAGGGTCGTTTTTTCATCCCTCAACCCAGGGCGCCAGAGCCCGGTCCGCCCGAAGCCTGGCGGGGCGGGGCAGCGGAGAGTCGGGAGCGGAAAAGAGGGGGGTGCTGACTAGGGGGGGTGGATTTCATGGCGCGGGCCATGACTTTTCCTCAGATTTCATGGCGCCCCTTCTTATCACATGGTACGTCCCTGGCCCCCCCGCTGGGCCGCGCACATGCCGCCGGTCATGAGTTGCACCCCCCCCTCTTGGACACCCCCCTCTTTGCCGCTCCCGAGGGAGCACGCGGCGGGGCCCCGCGTGCGAGGTGCGCCCCGGCCGCCACCCCCACGTGGCGCTCGCCGGAGGCGGCGCCGGCGCCCCCGCGCGCCCGGTGCGCGCGGGGGCGGGGCACGGCGGCCCGACGGCGCTCGCCAGCCGGAGCGCGAGGTCCCCAGCGCGCGGCGCGGAGGCGAAGATGAAGGAGTGGGCTCGGCGGCCAGCCGGGTGCCCCTGCGCCCGCCGCTCGCCCCTCCTCCCCTCGGGCGCGAGCAGCTAATTATGGCACAGCCTGCGCTCTCGCGTGCTGGACCGGATGACGGGGCGCGATCCTGCGGATGCGCGGTCGCACGGATGCGTTCCGCGCGGGGCATGCGCGGAAGCGCCTTGTGTCCGCGGGGTCGGCCCGCGTGGCCGCGGATACGGATACGTTTCCCGCCCACGATTCAGAAGAAGCCACTTGCTCACCCCTTGGCCACTTGGTGATACCGGGCGTGACCACGGGGGGTGCGTGACCCAGGGGGGAGGAGGGGGCGGGGCTGGTCACGGGCGTTATCGCGAACAGTCCTTCACAGACCGGAAACCAGGCCCCGGTGGCGCCTTGGCCAAAAACCGCCAGGGGGCACTGATATACACGAGGTCCCCCCACCCACTGGGGCCTCCCCGGAGCTTCCCCGGCCCCCGCGGAGCTTCTGGGCAGGTTCCAGACGTGCCAACGTGGCTTCCGGACGGTCCCAGAGGGCGTCAAGACAGCCCAAGACGCCCCCTTAAGACGCCCCGAGACGACTCTAAGATAACCCCAGGGTCCCGAAGAGGCTAACATCGTCAGATTCCTGAGTAGGAAAACGTACATTTCTAGAACATTGATTGCTTTCACGTGCACAGCGTTCAAGACGGCCGCAGAGCCCCCCAAGCGAGCCCAAAAACGGCCCAAGAGAGCTCCCAGACGCCCAAGACGGCACAAGAGGCACCCAGGACAGCCCAAGATTACCCCAAGAGGGCCCTTAGAGGAGCCAAGGGGGGCTGGCAGCAGGCCCCCAAGGACTCCCCAAGAGGACCCAAGAGGCCCAATCGACGTTCCGAAAGGCGCCCCAAGAGGCTTCAAACAGCCTGGGAGAGGCTTCCCCAGAGACCCGAACAGGCATTCAAGAGGTCTGAGGCGGCCCCCGTAGACACTACAATATATTTCTTGCACGCCTCAGATCAAAGAAACCGAAATGCAAACACTCTCTTCCTCCTCCTCCTCCTCCTCCTTCTCCTCCTCCTCCTCCTCCTCCTCCTCCTCCTCCTCCTCCTCCTCCTCCTCCTCCTCCTCCTCCTCCTCCTCCTCCTCCGCCTCCTTCCTCCTTCCGCCTGTGTGCACCAGTGCTCGGCCAGAATGGGAAGGTTCCGCACGCACGGGATTGGAAGCAGAGGCGCCATGAGAATATGTTGCCAAGCGGAGAATTCAATTGAGCTGTATGTGTGGTCAGTTGCGGTCTCCTTCCTTTCACGAAAATGATTGTATTGTGTTTTATGTGTTTGTCTCTCTCTCTCTCTTTCTATTGTCTCTCTCGTCTCTCTCTCTCTCTCTTTCCCTCTCTCTGTCTGTATGTCTCTCTCTCTCTCTCTCTCTTTTCTCTCTCTCTCTCTCTTTCTCTCTCTCTCTCTCTCTCTCTCTCTTTTCTCTCGCCCTCTCTCTATCTCTTGAGCCGACACCAGTCCAGCTTGAGGACCAGCGACAAACGTGGACAGTCGCCTCGGCCGACTGTTCACCATGCGCCACAGAGGGGGCGTGCCCGTCCAGCACAAAACTCAACAGCGCCCAGTCAGACTGCGACAGTCCATCCAGGCGCCGGCGACGGGGCACACACCCACAAAAAAGACAGCAGGAAGGGGGGCGACAGGAGGGCGGAAGAGGGGGGGCGAGGCGCGAGGTGCGCGCCGCAGGCAGGGGCGGCCCCGCGGGGGGACAGAAGGGGGCAGGGGAGGGTGGAGGGGCGCGGGAGGCGGGGCGGCGGTGGGCAGGTGGTCGCCGAGGTTGCGGTGGTCGTGGTAGTGGTCGTCGTGGTGGTGCACGCGTACAGTACCTGGGCTCCTGCGTGAGTGCTAGTCCTCGTGTCGTGCTGCTGGCTACCCTCGTTGCCGCAGGGTGCCGCTATGCTGCTGTAGCGTGTCTTGTGGTCTTGCTTGCGGTGCTCTTTTTGCTCTCTTTCTCCCTCCCCTCCTTTCCCGTCCGCTCCGAAGCCCTCCCACCCCGTTCCTCCCCGAAGTCCCTCCCTGGCTCAAGGTGCCCTGGCTCAACTTAGCCCCGAGCTGCCAGCGCGTAAAGTCGGCGCGCTCGGGCTGGAGGGCACTAGAACAGCATTCCTCTACTCTCACGTCCTGTTCTGGCAGTGCTGAGTGTGCAGAGACATGCCAAAACAATGTTCGATCACTATCTCCTCCCTGTTCTCCCGTAGTCCCCTGGTCCTCCGCCATGGTTCACTGCCATGGTTCACTGCAGTCCCTCTCCCGGGCCATGGGTCACTGCATCTGCGCCTCGATCGCAGGTCGGCGTATTATTTCTTCTTCTTCTGAACAAGAAGAACTCCGCATCCCTCCCCTGCCCCCCCCGCCGCCGTCGCCGCCGACAAGGCTGCGCGGAAGGCTCAGAGGGCGGAGGCCGAGAATGGTCTTCCTCGTCCTCACCGCCCTCCTCCTCACCCTCCTCCTCCTCCTCCTCCTCCTCCTCCTCCTCCTCCTCCTCCCCCTCCTCCTCCTCCTCCTCCTCCTCCTCCTCCTCCTCCTCCTCCTCCTCCTCCTCCTCCTGCTCCCCCTCCTCAGGAGCACGCGCGCGAGAAGGACGAGCACAAGGCGCAGCAGCTCAAGCAGGCCGCCGACCTCTTCCGGAGCGCCCAGGCCGCATGGTGCGGAGGAGCGGCAGGAGGACAGGGGTGGGATCCGTCGCCGGGCAGGAAGCGGGTCCTGAGGGAAACGGGTCCTCGGGATTTTGCCGTTTGCAGGCTCCGGGGGCCCTTCACGGGCCCCTGGACCGTCGGAAAACGATTCGGGGTGAAGAAGTGGTCTTGGGAGAAGGCCCCAAGGTCTGGGCACCCTCAGGACACGCTTCCTTCATACCGAGCAATGGAGAAGGATGAAGAAGGAGGAGGAGGAGGAGGAGGAGGGGGAGGAGCAGGAGGGGGAGGGGGAGGAAAAGGAGGGAGGAAGTGCGGAGAAAGAGGAGGGGGAGAAGGAGGATCATTCGGTAGCAACTCATGGGAGCTCTGTCTGTCCTCGAAACTCCGGCTCCAAAGTGCATCAGCGCGCGTTAGCGTTTGGTAATCGATGAGCAGGCGCCGATTTAGCGTCGATTCGTCGATGTAGCGTCGATTCGTCGATGTAGCGTCGATGTAGCGTCAATTCGTCGACAAGCGTCGGTTAGCGCTGTTTCGCAAGAGCCAGCAAGATGACATGGGAGGTCCCCACGAGTTGCGAGAGATGGGGCAGGAGGACATGGGAAGGAGGATCAGGGAGGAGGATGGAGGAGGAGGAGGAGGAGGAGGAGGAGGAGGAGGAGGAGGAGGAGGAGGAGGGGGAAGAGGGGGAAAAGCAGGGAGGAGGACTACCACCACCACCTTGTAGTAAGTCCTGGTTCCACCCCGGATCCCGACCCCCGCGCGGCACAGCAGCTGGCCAGGGACATCCAGAGTATCGAAGAGGCTCTGGCGGAAGAGGACATCAGGGAGGCCCTCAGAGTCTTGGCCAGGCGGACCCAGATGGCGTCGGACAGCAAGGCCCATCAGTGCATCCCCAGCCTTTTCCCGCGGGCGGCGTCGCAGCCAGCGCTGATGGCAGCGGACTCAGTGGAGGAAGACGTGGATCGCTTCTTGGAAGAGCTCCAGAAAGCTTACACCCACGCGCCGCCGAACAGGGAGGCCGGGCCAGGCGGCACGAGGAACGAGCATTGGACGTGGATGTCCCGCCACCCGGCCGCTTGGGAGAGTTTCGAACGGGTCGTCCTGCGGCTGCAGCTCGGCCGGGCCCTTGGAGAGGTGCACGGGCCCTGGCTGTCAGCACGGGTCCTGGCAGGGGACTGGGAGGAGCAGAACAATGTGCGCCCCCTCGCGCTGGGAAAAGTCCGTCCACGGGGGCGCCGCCTCAAAGGCCGCGAGCTGGATGTTCAGTGGAACGGTGGCCGCGGCGCTAGCGCCAGAACGAGTAACTACTCTGTGGAGAGCGCCTGAGGAGCAGAACGCATGCACAAGGTAGTGCTGCCTCGACCTCGACTGCTGGCCGCGTTGCTGCAAGGTCGGCCTGGACGTGGACAACGCCCACAACGAGTTCGACCGGGCACTTGCGGCGACTGCGGTATCGGCCCTGGTCCTGGACCTGCTGCACTGGGCGCGCCTGGGCCTGTGCACGGCCGCCGCGCACGCGCACGCGGCGCGCGACGGCGCGCAGACATTCCTCTCGAAGGAGCGCGGCGGTGACCACGGGGATGCTCTCACCAGCCAGGTGTTCCCTCTGTGCTACCTGGGGGTGGCAGGCGTTGCGGAGCAGACAGCAACCACGGCGGCGGAACCGGCGAGGGGCCACTGCTACCAGGATGACCTCGACGTCATCTGTGGCCTTTCCAGAGCCGCAGCCGCCGAGGAAGCCTTCGCCCGCGCCTGCGCCGCGGCTGGCCTTCGCGGCAACCCGGCCAAGACCAAGCTGAGCTCGGGCTGGGAGGTCAACGTGGCGGCGCCCCCTGGGCAGCGCGAGCTGGAACCCTGGGCCCAGGTGCTCCGCCACGGCGCGCTGCCGACGGCCCAAACGACCTCCGCCGCTGCGCCGGCGGAAGGAAGCTTGCTCGCCGAGGGCGGCCCCGAGGTGGCTGCGCTGCAGACGACTCGCGGGGGGCTCTACCAGAGGCTGCGCAGCCTCTGCGCGGCGGGCCTGGACAAGCATGTGGCCTTGACCCTCCTGCGCACGAGAACTGGCTCCGACTACAGGCTCCTGGCGCGCACCTGCGGCATCCCGAGCGCGGAGGCGCGGGCGCTGGACGGGGCGGTGACCACAGAGTACGAGCACGCTTTGGGCAGCCCGCTGGGCGACGGACGCCACGCGCAGGATCGAAGCTCTTCCTCGCCGGCGCCGCCGGAAGCCACGGCCTGCATAGCGCGGAGCTCACGGCACCCGCGGCGAACGCGGTCTCCTGGCACTTTTGCCTGCCGCGCCGCCTGCGGCGTCTCGGCCTGGAGAGCACTGCGCCCTGGCAGCGCAGAGCCCCTGGGCGCGCCGCACCCTGCCTGCGGCCACTGCGACGTTCTGGGCTGCGCCGGGAGACGACACCGCCCACGTGGGCGACGAGGCACGGGCAGCTACGCAGCACGCCCTGGCCACCACGGCCTCCCTCGCTGCGGCCGCCGGCTTCGCCGCCGACGAAGCGGCCGCGGACCCCCTGGCGGCGGCTTCCTTGCGCTCTGCAGGCGGCCCAGGCGCGAGCGCCCTCTTGCAGGCGCCGACGGTGCCCCGCCACGGTTCACCAACGCGGCTCGGCATCGCGTTGCGTTTCCGGCTCAACTCCGACTTTCCGGGACGCGCGGGACCCCCGCGCGCGGCGGGCGCAGCTGGGCCCGGGCCCCCGAGGGTCTGCCAGCACCAGCACCTTCACGGCGGGATCTGCGGCGCCCCGCTTGACCCGAAGGGGCGGCACACGCGCGGCTGCCCCGCGGGGGGGCGGCTCGTCCGCCGCCACGACGCGGGCTGCGCGGTGCTTGCAGAGTGGCGCGACTAGCAGGGACGCACAGGGCACAGAAAGGCCATGCTCCCCCACGCAGCGCCTGGGAGCGTGGAGGCGCGGATGGACTTAGTCGCCCACGCCCCGCGCCTCGCTGAGCCGCTCATGGTCGACTTGACAACGGTGAGCGCGCTCGCGCAGGACGCCTTCGCGCTCGGCTCCGTGCGGCGGGGCGGCGCCGCAGCAGCAGCCGCGGCGCGGCGCCAGCGGGCCCGCTACCCCGGGGTGGCGGTGGCCCCGTTCGCGGTGAAGGACCGCGGCCGCCTGGGCGAGGAAGCGTTGGCGCTGACGCGGCTGCTCGCGCCCGCCCAGCCACTCTGCGGCCATCCGGCGACTACACCAGTCGCTCGGGCGCGTCTTGCAGCGCCGCGCCGCCGACGCGGCGCTGGCGGAGACGCAGGCGCAGGGCTGGGCAGCTGGCGCCGGGCGGGGCCACCCTGGCGGGGGCTGAGCTGCCCAGGACGCAACATTGCTACCCGGCGGCCGCGCCGGGCACCAACTGGCGGGGCGGCCGCGGCGGCCGCTGGAGCGCAAGCTACTGCGCGGAGCTGCTGGAGAAAGGCGCCAGAGGAGACGCGCCTGGAGACGGGGCCGGCACTGCGCGCGAGCGACCGCGGCCGTGGCGAGGCCGAGGCGGCCGCAGCTGGGGCGCGCAGCAGCCGCGGCGCGCGGCCAGGCGCGCAGTCTGGCGCGGCCGGGCGGCGGCCGGGAGGCGGCGCGGCCCAGGGGGCTGCCCAGCGCTGCTTCTGCGGGAGGCGCCGGGGCGGCGGCGGAGGATCTCGAGGAGGAGGAGCTGGGCTACTTCATCGTCCCAGAGCCCGCCGTGCTCCCATGTAAAGGAGGCTAGAGGCACTGGTCAACAGACACCCCCCCCTGGGAGCGACCACCGTCTTCGACAGCTGGCCACCCCCGGGGGGGCCGCCCTCGTTGAGAGGCGGTGGAGGTGTCTGCCGGCTCCCGATCACCGAGCTCCGGGCGCGCGAGACAGACTCGAGACCGCCGGAGGAGGAGGCGGAGGAGGACGACGACGACGACGAGGAGTGGGAGGAGGAGGAGGAGGAGGAGGAGGAAGAGGAAGAGGACGAGGAGGAGGAGGAGGAGGAGGAGGAGGAGGAGGAGGAGGAGAAGGACGAGGAGTGGGAGGAGGAGGAGGAGGAGGAGGAGGGAGGGAGGACGGGAAGGACGAGGAGGGGGAGAGGAGGAGGAGAGAGGAGGAGGAGGAGAGGAGGAGGAGGAGGAGGAGGGGAGGAGGACGACGACGACGAGGACGAGACGAGGAAGAGGAGGAGGAGGAGGAGGAGGAAGATGAGGAGGAGGAGGACGAGGAGGAGGGAGGAGGAGATCGAGGAGGGGAGGTGGAGGAGGAGGAGGAGAATCAGGACAACGGAGAAGAGGAGGATGAAGAGGCCCAGGATGAGAAGGAGTTGAAGTAGAAGGACGGTGCGGGGGGGAGGAGGAGGAGGAGGAGGAGGAGGAGGAGGAGGAGGAGGAGGAGGAGGAGGAGGAGGAGGAGGAGGACGAGGAGGAAGTTGGTTTAATCCGGCTCGATAGCTCCCCAATGCCGCTCAATAGCTCTTCATCGTGAGTTGAATGATCTCCGAGCAGTCGCCACCGAATCGAAGAGGAGGGGAATCGAGGTGGGTGAGACGGAGATCCTGCTCAGACGTTTGACGACTCGATGTTTGCCAGATTCGCCAGCCAGCTGACCTCTTGACCCCTTCCCCTCGGCAAGCTTTTGATCATTGGTCGTTTCTGGTGTGGCCCGAAGCGGGCCTCCAGATGCCCATTTTAAGACCGTATCGCCCAGTAACGGCCGCCGCGATGTTAGTTCGTGACGCCGATGGTCCAGGCTGAAGCTTTCAGAAATCGCCCCCCCCCCCTCCAGGTCGGTCCTGAGGTGCCTTTTTGGCAAGAATTCTGGGGCGGCAGCTGTGGCGACGAAGGAGCTCCCGGAGGACCCAGAGAAGACCTTAAAAACTTCGATCTTCGAGTTACAGGTCCTCGCCGTCCGCGGGCGTCGTCGAAGGTGCACCTGTCCACCACCTGGACGCGACGCGAGCGCTCTGGACAACTTCGGGGCCGCCGGGGCCCCTGTCGTGCGCTCCCCCGCGAGGTCGCGACCTCCACAGCGCCCTCG